AAGGAAAAGTAAGAAACAAGGATATTTTTTTGAAGCAAGAAAAAAGGAAGAAATGAAGGAACACTTTTTTTTCCGCTTGTTCTTTGACTTAATGCCTTTTTGTCTTTTTTTCCTTACTWATATGTCTCTTTGTTGTTCTCAGTCTTTTTTTCATTTTTAGTCCACTCAATAGTCTATATGTAAATTTTTTTCCATGTTAAGAMMAAGTCTGCCTTTTTTCATCTTTTTTTTATTTCATCTATTAAACTTTTAAGACATTATTACTTTTTTTTTAGTAATATCATCAGTATGTGAGCAAATAAAATTTTTTTATGTCAAAAATGAAAGTGATTAGCATTCATCAATTTTTTTAGAGGCAAATTAACAAATATAATTGGCAACTTCTTTTTTTTTATAACTGCTTGCCCTTCGTCTCAGGCAGGATTTTTTTTTTTAAAAACATTGCGTATACTTCGAAATTTATTTTTTTTTTTTCAGCCTGGAGTTCAGTTATGAACTATTTCATTTTTTTGCCGAGCAACGGCAGCTTTGAAAGACTTGAAACTTTTTTTGCCATCTCGTTGATTGCTATCAACGCTTTGAGCTCCGTTCTAGCTTGCGTTTTGAAATTATTGATCATTGTGACTTTTATCAAGATGTATATTCTTTTCTTATTGTTTCTTTAGCATTCTCTGATCTTGGTGTTGGGGCTCTGATACAGCCGGTTTTTTTCGTTAAYTTGTTTGCCGCAATGAAAGCATGCCCTTCCCTTTTTGATATGAGCTCTGACATAACTCAAAAAAAGTGGTTTTCATTATTTCTGACTAAAGATCTAAACAACAGTATTTTTTTCTTATAAACCAGAAAAGCCAGAATAAGTTGCTATTTTTTTGTTGGTGATCGTAACACATAAAGGCAATCATAATTTTTTTGTGACAAGTTTTATCTTTGTATAAAACTGTTCGTTTTTTTAGGCGCCCGAAAAGATCGACTTAAAACTCGTCGTTTTTTTTTAGAAAGCAGTTGAATTAATTTTCCATAAAAATTTTTTTATGAAGGAACAATAAGGAATTCAATCATGAAATTTTTTTTGGGACAGATAAATAAGCAGTACAAACAAAAAGGTTTTTTTTCGAAGGAGGATTGTAGTAAAATGTTGTGGAATTTTTTTTGGATCTCTACTGGGGCCACTTCACTATAATCTATTTTTTTATAACCTTCCACGTTAAGACAAAGTCTGCCTTTTTTTTTTCTATACCGCCTTTCAGCTGTTAAACGTTTAATGTTTTTTTATTGGGAGTTTAGTAATTTCATCAGTATGTGAGTTTTTTTATAATCCGTATGTCAAAAATAGTCACATCTGTATTTTTTTATAAAAGTGATCAGAATTCATAAAATACACCACTTTTTTTAATTAACAAAATTAAGCTATAAAAAGTATTATCTTTTTTTCACCCTATTTGCCTTAGATCTCTAGGCAAAACTTTTTTTTTGGTAAAAACTTGCCGCGTACTTCGAAAGTACCTTCATATTTCGTTATGAACAATTTCACTGAACCACCGAGCTTTTTTTGCTTTGAAAGACTTGAAAAAGGCTTGGCCATCTTTTTTTTTTCTATCAACGCGTTGAGTTCCGTTGTAGCTTGTTTTTTTAATTTCTTGATCATTGCAACTTTTATCAAGACGTTTTTTTTGTGGACACCTTCGTATATTCTTATTGTTTCTTTTTTTTTGTCTGACTTTGGTGTTGGGGCTTTGGTACAGCCTTTTTTTTGTGTCGAATTATTTGCCACAATGAAAGCATACTTTTTTTTTTCAGATGTGAGCTCTGATATAACAGAACGAATTTTTTTGGTATTCGCATTTTCCTCTTTTCTCACGATTACTTTT